CTTAAAAACAACTCTACCTCTCAATCGAAGGTGAGCCACGGCCAGCTTCCTCTGCTGGAATTCTTGTAGTCTGATAACATTTTCTGACAACAGATGCCTCTTAGCTGCAAATAAAACACACGTTTCCAGTAAGGAAAGGGTACAGCATGCCATTACTACAAACCCTGCCAGTAAAAACCCCAGGTAAAATCTACTTTTGGTGGACTTTAAAACAATTTACTGTCCAATACCTTTCTACACATGTGGGTTACTTCCAAGGTGCTAACGTAGCTTCTCTGTGTGTAAGTCAGTTTTAATGGTCACCTCTGTATCACACAACACACATTTTTTTAGCTCGTCTTACCTCCGATACAGCCTTCAATCCAGCCAGGCTGTGAAACACCACAAAATACTCGTTTTGAGGGGTCAAGTAGTAAGAAACGACAACATTTACCGACCCTCCCCAGCGCCATATTGCCCACTGACTGTACCACGGAGATGAAAACAAAGGGCTGCTATTGGAGATGTTATTACGTTTTAAAACACCAATTGCTACCCGGAACAGCAAACCATTTAAAAAACGCACAGGTACCAAATTAATATTTTGATTCAAGTAAAAAAAAGTGTTTGTAGGTATCTGTTTTAATTTTGAAATGCGCAATGAGTAGTTTAGTTGGTATAATCCAATATGGCTGCGCCTTGTGATCCGGCATACGATTTGCGTGTGTTATAATCATTTAATTTATTGTCATTTATTTCTACTCTGTTACACGAAGCTCTATTCGTTTTGTGCTACATCTTTTCTTCAGTTTTCTTCATTTTATTACTGAACAACACCAGCAGTAAAAAAAAAAAAAAAGTGTTCATCTTTTGACCTACAGGTGGTGCTGTTGCACTGCAATTTAAACACTAATATGAAGCCTATAATGATATGTTTGATAAATGTGTGGGACAAAGACACTCATACACATATATACTCTTTTGGTTGTTATTATCATAAATCTGGTTAAATTTGGCGATATAATTTATTTATAAACGTTTTTATTGAGAATGAGAGTCTCCCACTGCTCCCAGGCTCAACTCAGATTTCCCTTACTTTTCACTCTTTAAGTTGGCGGTAGATGTTTCTAATACCCCTCTGTTAATGCTTTTAAAGATAAATTAATACATCGTACATTTTTATAATTAAAATTTTAATATTAGACTATTTAATTCAATTTATATTTTACAAGATATACTCTTGTAATATGTCATTGGATGTAGCAAATGGAGCAACAACAGGGTATTAGGGTATTATAATAATGCCATTATTAATGCTAAATCAATTAATCTGATTATTTTCAAATGAATATAATGTTTGGGGCCTTGTCATTACCTTCAAAACTGCACTTTGAGTATACAAAGGATTCATATGTACGGTCATATTTACCTCTGTATCTTATGTATATACAGCATGTACCTCTGTGAATGTCAAATGCCTTTTCCTGCCTTAAACAATTATCACATCAGATCCTCTAGATGCTTCAGAGCCACCAGAGTCTTTTTTGAACTGAGCTTGGAATAATTTACAAGACACGCTGCATATCAGACATTCAACTGCCACACCCAAAACATGTTTTATGAAGAATGTTACTAGTCACCCTCTTCTTTTATGCAAAAGAACTTTTTTTTAACGTTTTTGTAAAAGGGCCATGAATTATGTTATGATCAAACAGTCAAAATGTTCAGAATTGCTTGCACAATGACAATATTTGGTCCAAATGTTATGCTATGTTGGAAAAATGTAAGTTACAAGCAGACTTATTATTTAATTTTAACCTCCACTGTACTTTAGTATATAAAGGTGAGCATCAAACTCTGCCACTAGTTGGTGTACTCATTGACCTAGACAGCAT